GAGAGAGAGAGAGAGAGAGAGAGAGAGAGAGAGAGAGAGAGAGAGAGAGAGAGAGAGAGAGAGAGAGAGAGAGAGAGGGCACGCAGGTCGATATTTGTCCAACTTTCACCAAAGCAATGGCCTAGTCGTTCATGCACATCTCAAGTCCCCTCGACCGAACACGTAGCAAGCTCAGAGCCTCAGAGGCCTGGATGAACCAAAAAGGCCGTCAACAAGAAAACACGCGGCAAGCTGGGAGGAGGACGAACTACACCAAACAGGCCGAGAACGAGAACGATGGTCTCGCGTACACAAGTGCAAGCACCTCGTCACTTTCCAGCATCATGTCCATACATCCCGCTGCAGCGGCGCTGCTTCTCCACTAACTACCGGTAGCTCGGCAAACCAGGCACATCTCAATGCGCAATCAGGCAGAGCAATCGCATGCTCACATTCACAATCAGAAAGCTTTTTTTTCGTTCTCTGACTTTTTGAGTCTGCTGACGTTACCGAGTCCACGCACGAAAGACGACAAAAAAAAATAATCCTGACCTCTGCTCGGTACTCTTCCCTCCTCCATGCACGTGTTCCCCTCCATGCACGTGTTCCCCTCCATGCACGTGTTCCCCGTGCCCCGTGGCGTACACCATTCCTGCAAACACTAATGATAAGTAGAGCCGGAACTTGCGGACTTCTCGCACGCGGTAATGCTCATCATGCCCTTAAATCAATACACCTACGTCTTCTTGGTGTGTGCTTTTTTTATTTCTATTTGCACCGCGACGTCTCGTTGAACTGAGTGTCTCCCAAATTCGAGTCAAATTCGGACCGGAACGTCCGCTGTCCGCCGCCGGTATGACGTCGCGACAGCGATCCCCAGCAATCCGTGAGGAGGACAAGAGGGCACACGCAATGCCTACCGTCTTCACCAGAAAAAAACGCCCGATCGTTAATGCCGAATTTGGGGCAACTAGAAGTCCAGATACAGATATAATTCCCGGTCGTTACATTGCGATGAAGATGGTAGCCCGTGCGGCTGCTGTACTGAAACCACCGACTCTCGGATTGCAACCACAACCGCGATAACAACACACCTCCCGTCCTCTACTCTCTCACCCCGCCACTCCCTCCTCCTCTCTATACTCCCTGACCTACCACCTCCCTCCTCCTGTCGACGTTGACCGTCTTCACTGCAGACTACCTTTCTACTCACACTCCACACATTCACCCTCTTCTCTCCTACCCTGTTGCCGTCAAACAAACTGCAGACTGCCGCAGAAACGCGATCATGACGTTCATTGTCATTCATCCTTCTCTCCCTGACCTGTTGACGTCAAACAAAACGAACTCCCCTCCCGGCGGGTATCATCCTCTTCTCCCGACACTGTTGACGTCAAAACAAAACAACCCCCCCGTCCCCCCGCCCCCCCCTTTGAATATAATCCTCTTCTCCCTACCCCGTTGACGTCAATCAATAACTCCTCTCCCGGTGGAAATCGAAGGCGTCTATTTGAGATTCCTTAACGCGCAATTCTACACATCCTTCTCAGACCGACTCTCCGATGGGGGCAGAACGGCGGTGACCCCCCTCCTCTTCTCCCTGAACTTCTCCTCCATCTCCCTATCGATATCGAACGCGTGGGTCACCACCTCCAAGGGCATGTTCTTCAACATGGACGTCGAACCGGAGAGGAAGGACGACCAGGGCATGGAGGACGACCCCACGGAGATCATTTCCAGCGGCTCCTCCTCCGACGCCACCTTCATCGCCGCGAAGAAGCGCGGGATCGCCACCACCTGTCCTGCGCGCACCTCCGCGTCCAGCTCGTTGCGCCCGTCCGGCCCCGCGATCTGCACCCTCCCCTTCCCGCTGATGAAGTACACGATGTGGTGGGCGTTCACCGACCAGGCCGGGCCAATCACCGCCCCCGGCCTCAGAGACACTCTGTGCGCGCCCATTCCCAGCCGACGCAGCGCTGGCATTCGGTGCGCATTCAACCACCAGAGCTTCCCGCCCTTATTCGCCACGTCAGCGAATGACCTGTCCAGCTTGTACACGAGCTCGCCCCCAGAAAGCGGCAAGAAACCGGACGCGGACGCCGACCCCTGCTCCGCGTTGACGTCATCATCAAGTTCCGTGCCCACGCCCATCGCCAGCACAATCCGATCCACGACATTGCGACACGTGGCGGGGTTGTTTCCTGAGGGAGAAGGCACTCTGACAATGGCGCTCCCGAGCTGGGACCGCAGCAGCTTCTCCACGTGGCTGACGCCCACGTCCCACGCCTTGGCCAGCAGCTCCTTGCTGAAACCGAGCAGAATCGCGCCCGTGTCCTTCTGATGCTCCATCGCCGCAGTGGAGTTCGACGACGAGCCCGCGAGGTGGAAGTGCATGCATTCGCCAMGTGCATGGCCYTCCGACGTGTCCCATGCAACGAACGCCCGCAGACGGGAGCTTCCGCAGTTGACGGCCCAGCTCACCCAGCCGCGGGGAATCGCGAACACGTCCCCTCGCTCGATCCTCCTGGCATTGGTGGGGATCCCGACAGGTGACATCAATCCCACGTGGGCGGACCCTTCCAGCACGTAGAGGAGGTAATGGCAGTCCGAGTACTCGGGGAGCATCATGAAGCCAGCCTCCAACGTCACCAATCCTGCTCCAAGATAGGCATTGGGGAACGCCTCGAGAGAGCCTCCCCAACTGCTGATCGTCCCGCCTTCCGCCTTAATCACATCCCGAAGATCACCACTCTGCTTCAGGTACTGAGAGGAAGGAGGTGCGGCACCAGCTGCCAGCGGCATCGCTGCCGTGGCGCAGAGCGCCAAGAGAAGAAAGGGCATCGTGTACGCGAGCTGCATTTTGGTGGCAGGTTGGTACACGTGGATTTGATTAGCGATGGATCTGCAACCACAGCGTCGGATTATGGCAGCGGTGCCAACACCAGACTTAAAAGAGACGAAGCTTCGCAGGCGATGTGCTTGTCCAAGATCGGAATGGACAGTACGTTGCACCAGATACCTTCGCACACACATTCGCTGATCGTCTTCGGTAGTCATGCGTTTATAAATAGAGCAGGCTGTGCCTGGTGGAGGCTAGCGGCCGCGCAATGTTGCCAAGTGGCCCCATCGGGCGCAAACGAGACACGGTGAGGCCTCTCCGGGGCATCCGTGAAAGTGGAAAAGGAAAAAAAAATGGAACTGTTTTTTTTTTTTTTTTTTTTTCCCCCCCCCCTGAAATTGGCTGTCGGCCAGGGCAATGGAGATCCCCATTCAGTGCTTGCGGTGTAACTGGGGCTGGGCGAACATGATCCACCTGGGGCGAGGTCCCACTTGCAAAGTGGATGGGATTGAACTCCTGAATCTGTACGTGTTTCTGGAAAGCTGCAGAAATTTAAATCGAGATTCAACTGCTTTTCTGCATCGGTGCCTGAATCGCGTCCAGATTCACGAGTTTAATCGAATCCTCTTTGCGAGTGGGACATTGGTCCTGGTCCTGTGGATTGACTGCCCGTTGGTGGATGCGCCTACTGTTCTAGTGGAAACATCATTGCCAAAGTATTACGGAGGGGGTTCTAGAATGAGATCTGCCTCTCGGATGTTGACAGCATTGCTCCCACAGGGACGAGCTTATCTGTAGGGGGTGGGGTAAATTGCTTCTTTTGGGGGTTTCTTTTTGTAGGACTGGGGGTATATAGCTCTAACCTGCAAAGGAGTGCTCATGGAAGTGATTTGGGCGGGCGAGGAAACAGAGGGTGCTCAGATGAGAAGGTAGCTCCATCCATCATCAGTACCAAAAAAAAACCGAAAGAAAGAACTACCAGTACCTTCCCATCTATTTTGCAGAGCTGCGGCGGGTTAAACCCCGGCAGGGAGGGAAGTTGGCGGGGTTCAGTGCTACGGGATTGAAATGCCTGCCTGGCAGCACCAGCCAAAATGGGGCCCGCACAGGGGTATTGTTTTTGGCACGCAGGGCTATTTAAGGCTCGGTGGGGGGTCTAGTCAGTGGGTGGGGCTAGTATCTGTAGTAGGGACAGGTATGGGCCACCGGAGTTCCTACTGATATTTGGTAGAACTGTCTAGTGGCTATATTTAAGGCTTAGACCCTGAGGTAAGGGTAGGGGTATAAGTCGCTCAGGCCAGTCCGAGTTCAGCCTGGCCTTGGGTTAGCTAGGGGAAGGACGGTATGACTGCTTCAATGGGTGCTACCCTGTCTGAAACCTGGGGCCCAGAGTCTCTTGGGGCCTGTAGTAGATTGTCTGGGCCTGGCGTCCGAAGTTCCCGTTCGACAAGGCTCGTCCGATTCCGCTTCCACCAGCCAGAGCTGGGCAACCTATCAGCCCTGGTGCCTATCACTGCTGTTCGGTCCAAGTTACCTGGCAGTGCCCATTGGTAGGGTACTAATGGTGCTGAGCGCTGGTCACACTGAGGAAGGATAGTGGGATAGGGGGGTGCGCTAGGAGTATTGACGTGAGGATGGGATGGGAGGTGGTCTCATATTCCAGGACACCCAGGGCCTACTGCTTCAGGTGATCACTGTGTACTCAGTGACTGCCCTCTACAACACCATGGACTTTATAGAGAAAAAAAGAAAAAAAAAAAGAAAAAGAAAAGGCTCGGCATCCATAGCTGCTGTGAAAGGTACTGGTGGT